ATGTGTCTGCGGCCGCTTCGGTCTCTAGCCAGTCGCCTGGCCCGGTTCCTGTTGTCGCCCAGTTGAACTCGGCTTTGACTTCGCGAGGTACCTTCAGCTCGACGTCAGCTGCCGTGAGTGCGTCGAGCTCGGTTACCACAAGCTCGACTGTAACCACATCTCGGCCTTCCGGTGGTTCAGCCTCCCAGGTGTCCCGGGCTGCTGTGGGTTCTCCAACGCACCGACTCCTCGCTTGTTCCTGACCTCAGTTCCCAAGTCCGAACCAGGGTCGTCAAGGTTTGTCGAGAGTTGCGTCGACTGTGGTCACGTCTTTGCCGGGTACTTTATCTCCAGCGTCGACTCGGCCGACCGTTCCTGTGAGCTCGACTGTGATGACATCTCCTTCTGGCCGTCCACTACGCCAGACTGCTGCCACCGCACGGGCGCACTGCTTGGATTTGTGGTTTTCGCTCCCGCTGGTGTGGATCCGCGCATAGTCGAGGATGCTGTCGATGAAGATGTGATCCTCGCCGAGCCTGCGCCTCCCCAGATTTCGTCAAGTGCTCCGACTCCGGTCAACCGTGCAGGAATGCACATCTTCCAAGGTCATGAAGCTGGCGAGCTCGGCTGGGCCGCTGGCGATGCGGATCCGGCGTCCCCGTTGATCGGGTCGCCAAACCTATGCGACCCTTCTCCCGCGGCTTCCCTCTTTGGTCCGGCGTCGCCTGGGTCTCCTGCTGAGCTGAGCGCAGGATCGAGTGTCCCTCTGGCTAGCGACTCGGCTATTCCGGCTTCGAGCTCAGCGGACTCGGCTGCGCAGACTGCGGAAGCAGCGGATAGCTCGGCTGGCTCAGCTACGAGCACTGGAGGTTCGATTGGTCTTCTCGCAGCGGCTGCTGCAACCGTCGTGTCTTCTGCCGCGCATTCACAGGGTCCTTCGTCTCCGTAACGTGCGGCTCAGCCGCCGAGCTCTTCTTCATTTCCCATCATTCTTCGGCGTAATTCATGTAATGTATGCAATTTGACGCAGTAGCTTCCTTCGCCTCAACTCAGCCTGCTGTCTTCACTGATCATCATTTTGGTGCAATAGCTTTAATCCTCGTCTGCAACTGGCACCATTTGCAGACGGTTTTCACGCTTCTTCTGCCGTAGGTAGTCGAACAGTAATCCACTACACGACAAGTTCGACAGCGGCTCCCAGGTTGGCTCATCATACCCGACCCGCTTAACCTTGAACTTCCGCTGAGTTCTGGAGGTGCTCGTAGAGAGCGGCAACTCGTCGTCCAGGATGGCTTCGACTTCGTATTCGTTCATCACTTCGTCAGGCTCCCAGCTATCTTCAGGAAGGAGTTCCTCGTCAAAGTCGAGACGATCCGACTCGGCTAAATCGGCTACTAGCCTAGTTGTCGGTCGCTCGCCGAGTCCCGTAACTGCATTCAGGCGTGACACATGTACCACAGGGTAGAAACGGTATCCGCTCTTGTCCGGAAGTTCGAGCTCGTAAGCAAACTCCTCCACCTTCTTCTTCACTCGGAATGGTCCATGCCATCGATATGCCAACTTCTTGGTCAAGCCAGGTCTGACTCGTTCCATGAACAACCAAACTTGGTCACCTTCCTTGAATAGCGACTTCCTCGACTCGGCTATCTCGTCAACGTCCTCCGTCGACTCGGCTGCTCCCTCGGGTGAGTTCGCTGGGGTATCCATCCCTTCCTCTCCGGTTGGGACAGCTCTCTGCTCGACTCGGCTGAGTCCGTCATTGTGTTCCTTCGCTCTCCGTTGCTTCGCCTTCAACTGCAACTCGGCTGCAAGCTTCAATGCCACCTCTCTCTGTCGGTTTGCTTCCCTGCGCCATTCGGCCGCCTCAGTCGAGTCAGCTGAGTTGCCCCTGTCGAGCCTGACTGACTCGGTCATCGCCTTGAGTGTAGACCGAGCGTCCCATCCGTGTACCAGGTAGAACAGGGTCTCCCGCCGAGTCGAGTCTCTCGAATTATTGATGGCATGGACGAGCTTCTCGGATACGTCATCCCAGTCGGCTTGGAGAGGGTCTTCCACGCACACACGCACAGTCTATCATGGTCTTCACTGAGCGTTCGTGCCGACCGTTGGCTTGTGGCCGGTAACTCAGCGTCGCTCTCGACTTGGACTGCATCATCTCCGAGAACTTCTGGAACACTTCACTCATGAACCGGGGATCTCTGTCGTGGCGCACCAGTGATGGAGCTCCAAATGTCCGGAAGACGTTCTCTTCGAAGGCCTTCGCTACCTCAAGTGCCCCAGTCTCACTCATCGCCTTAGCAATCACGAACCCGGTGAAGTGGTCTTGAAATAACAGGAGTGCAGTGTTGCCCCGCCGAGTCTTCGGCAGTGGTATGACAAAGTCCATCGATACCACGTGGAACGGTCGCTCAGACACCACGTCGCTGGGTGAATAGCCCTTCAGGTGCGGTTTGCTCTTACTGGTACTGCAGTCTTCGCACGCTTGGACACGTTTGACCACGTCTGCGTACAACCCAACCCAGTAGTAGTCGGCTCTGACCCTGTGGTATGTCCGCACGATCCCTTGGTGGCCTCCCTCGATGGAGTTGTGGCCGTTCTGCAGGATCTCGTCTATCATGGTCGTCGGAACCACCAGCCGAAGGGATAAGCCCAGTTCGCCGAGTTCGCCGGGTGGGCTGGCCTTGCCTTGTCGGTTCAGTAGCCCGTCTTCGCTGAGCACAAACTCGTCGGCAACCTTCCCAGCGTTGTGAGCTCGGCGATGTGTGAGCATAATCCCCTCTCAGGTAGGTCTTCGAGTCGGCCCATCGTTGTTCCTCGTCCTGAGCTCTTGCTATTCTTAGACGGCGCTCAGCTTGGACCACTACCGGATCGATGTCCATGGCGTTGGGCTGCCGGGCTTCTCCGAGCTCGGCTACCAGCTCGGCTGGGTTTGCTGGTGGTGCTGCGCTACCGAACTCGGCTTCTCCCGTCACCCGCTGTCTAGCGGGCGGAGGTCGGCTATCTCGTTCAAAGTCATTACGTTCAGCTTCCTTATTCGTAGCTGGGTTCTGGACTGAGTGTTCTGCTGCTTCGTCTTCGAAACGGACTCGGCGAACTTGACTCCTTGTCACGGCAGCCATCTCAACACCCTCAGCCGCGGCTGCAGCCGAGTCCGTATCCACGTACAGGAGATCAGACATCCTGTTTAGGGTCTTCAACTCGGCTTTCCGTCCGGCGCTTAGCACGACCATTCCTGCTTTGGGTTCCAGGGCTTCGGTGGCGAAATCCGCGTCCCGTTCATGGACCCGCTTGACCTTGAGGTGGAACGGTGATAGCAGCACTGCAAAGCTGACCGCTCTGACTTCGACTGGAACACCCATTCGAGAGTCGAGTAGCGGGTGTAAACATGGATGGTCCTCCCGGCGAGCAACGTGTGGCACACGTTGATGAGCTGCAGCAAGGCGAGAACTTCTTTCTCGGCGGGATGGTAGCCGAGTTCATTATCCTTGAGAACTCGGCCGCAGAACCGCACTGGATAGAGCTTCCCGTCGTGGAGCTGCATCAGCGTGCTACCCAGAGCCCACTCATTGGCGAATAGCATAACGTGGACGTCTTCAGCCGAGTTGAAGTAGCGGAGTATGGGTGCGTCGACCACCTTCTGTTTTAAGTCGGCGAACGCCGCGTTTGCGGCAGTCAGATCACCGCCGGGTCTAAAGTCTTCGTCCTTCAGCTGATAGAGGACCGCCTCATATACAGCCAGGTTCTGGATGAACCGGCCGTAGTAGTTCAGCGCTCCTAAGAATGCTTACATCCCCTTCTTCGTCGTCGGGAACGGCAGCCCGGCTATCGCCAGCATCTTTTTCGGGTCGGCTTGGATTCCAGCCGAGGTCACCCCATGTGACAGGAAGTCGACTTTAGGCTGAACAAAGATGCTTTTCGGGAAGCTGACGCTAATGCGGCATTCAGTGAAGCGTTGCTGCAATCGGTCAAGCGTTCCCAAGCAGTCGTCGAATGGCCGCCCACCAAAGCAGATATCGTCCACAAACGACCGCCGGTCGAAAACCGGTGCAAGGTACGATTCATCAGGTTCACCCGTCCTGACCATGTCGGCTTCTGGGCTGTTAATGAATTCTCCCAACGGGTCAAACTCAGTTTGAGCTCGGCGGTCGGCTTCAAACTTGGTCTGGCCACTGGCTTCAAAGTCGATGTCGGCTGCGAGTCGTTTCCGCTGAGCTTCTGAGGCGGCTTCCGCTTGTAGGATGCACTTGGCGAACACCTTCCAGCCGCCCTTGGGTTGTACGTAACCCCACAGAGCGTTATCAATAAGGCGCTGGTAGATCATCGGTGCATTCTTTAATCCGAAGGGCATTCGCAGCCACTAGAAGTGGCCAAGCGCACAGACAAAAGCCGAGATCCAACGCGCCCGTCGAGTCATCATGACCGCCCAGAAGCCGCTAGCAGCTTCCAAAGAGCAGAACCATAGGTATGCTTCCAACTCCGTGAGGAGATCGTCCACTAGCGGCATAGCGTACTCCATGAGCAACGTAATCGCGTTCACCAGCTTGTAGTCGATACACAACCGAATGTCGACGATGTAGTGACCCACCGTCCGAGGGTCCGAAAGAATAAGTGGCGGATATTTGTATTTGTGTGTAACTCTGTATTTGTGGTTCGTCCAGAGTCGTAGGGGCTACGTTTGGAAATACGTATCACACCCCGCTCGGAAACCCAACAGTGTACAACAACTCACCAACTCGGCCGAGCTCCTTGGTTCGAAGACAAACGACCCGAGAGGGATTGTCACAAGGAACACACGCCATCTCGAGCGGACATCTTCTGGTGTATCCGCATGAGAAGTTCTAAGAGACTTTGTTCTCCCGGAATATTCGCACACTATACACCTGGACGGAAAAGGCGTTCACCCGCCTCGCCTTAGCTTGTGCGCGTGCCCGGATTCGAACGGAGGAAGTTCACCGCGAGTTGTTGTATATTTTATTTGGATTAAGAGTGAGGTGTCTACTAACCTTTTGACCAAAGTTGCTATGACTTCGGATGGAGAAGACATGCGCGACGCTGGACGTGAGAGTCGCGAACGCGGAGACGCGTCGGCGAAGTCACGTCGGTCGAAGGGGTTGCCGCCTGAGGAGCACGCGAGCCTGGACGAGGTTGTCCGGGCTGCTCGGAAGGCAGGCGCTGCGAAGCGCAAGGCAGCCTGGGAGGAAAAGGAGAAGTCGGCGACTCCGGACGAGGCGTCTGTGGGAGGCGCCGATGTGGATGAACCCCGGACGGAGGGTCGAGTTTCGGACTCCTCACCGCCCGGCCAAGGTGTGGGCCAGCAGCCGGATGCTCGCGCGTCCGCCCGAGAGGAGTAGCTGCCGTCTGTCCCGGAGGAGAAGTCTGGCCAAGATGCGGATGCGTTGCCGCCACCCGAGGAGATCCCTGCCCGGGAGGACACTCCGCCCAAGTCGTCGGTGGAGAAGTCGCTGGGTCAAGACGCGGCCAAGGCATACGTCCCGGCAAAAGTTTACCGGTGGGAGCAGGTTCGGTCTGAACGCGTGCTCCCGCCGTGCGTGGAGTATACCTGGCCGGATGACCGGCCGGACTCGTTGCCGTGGCTGAACGCTACCCTGGCCACGTCCAAGTACCTGGTAGCCCGCGCGACTCTGGGCTACGATGTTCAGCCGTGCGTGCTGGAACTCCGCCTGGACCGACGCGACCTGGCCACCGCCCAAGAAGTCGTTGCCGTCGAGATCTCGGTCGCCACCTTCACGCCGAGAGAGTGTGTTGCGATCCTGCAGACACTGCTCTTCGAGGCCGGCTTCCAGTTCGACAACTTGGTCCCGGTGTGGTTCAAGACGCATGCGTCCAAGATCACGCCGGATCTCGTTCGGAGTCTGGCCGGAGACATCCAACGTCTCCTAGCCGTGGAGCTGATCGAGTGGCGAACGTTGTGCGTCAGGGCGTCGTTCAAGGTAATCCCGGTTTTGGAGGCCGAAGCGAAGTCTGGGCAGACACCTGCCCTGGCCAATCATGCGGAGGATCAAGACGGAGATGTATTGATGGACGATTACGAGGTCAACCTGCTCGGCTGGAACTACGTTCTGCGCGTGCGCGTGGCTGGCATTCGTTCCGCCAGGAGTTCGAGCGGGTCCTCGACCGGAGAGCCTACGCCCAAGCGGCGTCAACACCGGCCACCCCGCGCGGAACCATCTCTCCAGGACACTCCGCTCGCCTCGCTCCCGTCCGAGCTACCACCGTCTTCGACGTCCGTCCAGGAAGATTCGCCCGAGGTGCCGGCGTCGGACCCTGTCCCGAGCTTGGTCGGCACCACGGATGAGTCCGCCGGGGGCGCGACGTCCTGATCGTATGTGTCAAGGAACAGCTCGTCGGCATCTTCGTCGTCGACGCTGGACTTGGGCGCAGGGGCGCACATGCCCCTCTCCGGTCCGTTGGCGTTGTCCGCCCGAGCTGCCGGACCTGCTGTGTCGGGTGGGGAGCTTGGCTTCTACTTGACGCGGCAGGTGATCCCGGAGCGCAAGGTGCTGTGGTGGAGTGGATCCGCTGGAATTAGCAGGGATCCCACACTCACACACTGCGCCCAGAGACCGACTAACGGAGGGGGTACTACGATAACCGTAGGTTGCTGAGTGGCTCACCTTGTGTACCCGTCGGCGGGCTGGATCTGCTCTCTCGTTGACACGAAATACGCAGCGGGTGAACTTCAATGTCCATGGCGGGGGCTTGGGAAGATGTTGGGGCAGATCCGCAGTGGGTGTTCCTTCACGCGGATCTGGGTAGGTTGATCCTTGGTCTTGGCCGTAGATCTTGTGGATCCGATAAGTAATATACCGGATCCGGAGTTGTTGCCTTGTTGGGGGTGGTGTATCCTTTTTCCTTTACGTCGCTTGCCGCCTACTATTAGTGGGGGAGTTGGGGGGCGAGGGCCGAAGGGCGCGAGCTGCTGACCAAGCTATCTAGCAGTCTGCCACGTGTGCGGTGGGCAAATCACTTAATTAAAGTATGGACCAATACTAATCCCAATACTAAGGACCAAGTGTGTGGTTCCCAAGCAAATTCGACTCTGATTTATGTTAGCCTGTACCCAGCCTTCCCATTCGACATGGATCCTATCCATGACTGGCTCTCCCTCCTGCCTAATTATCCTAACATAGCCACTGTACCAATAAGCTGGTACGGATCCGCGCCTAATCTAGCGGGTCCTAATATAAATGACCGGATCCGTATGCACCACACCACTTGCACCTGATCCAACTTCAATTGTCCTGATCCCGCAACCGCACCTCCATCCCGCAACCATGGCGTCATCGGAGGGACTGGGCATCGTCACCAACTGCCGGATCCCACTGCCCAGTCAACTGGCGGATCCAGTCCCATCAAGACCCTTCTTGAGCGGATCTTCTCACCACAGTGCTGCCCGACCAGGACGACGTCGACATGGCGGATGCTGAGGTGGCAGCCAGGATCGCCTTCGCGAAGACCGCTTGGACGAGCATCGGTGGCGACTGCGGCGACGGCTCCAGTCACTGTCCGAGTCGAACTCGCTGGAGGAAGAACTCCTGCCGGAGTCGCGGTGCTTCCTCGCATTCCTGGACGAAGATGTTCGGGTAGACCTCGCGTTGCTCGAGCCGCTCAAGCCCCTCGCAACACTCGGGGAGGTCCGGCCGGACTGGGTCGTCGATCTCGTCCGGCGCCGCTGAGGCTGCCGTGAGCGCCTTGCACCAGGTGCATATGATCGGCAACACGTTGGAGTCGATGCGCGAAGGGCTGGCGGCGAAGGAGAAGGCCGCCTTGGATGTTGAGGTCCAGCGTACTAGAGCGGCGTGTCCGCGAAGCCGAGGAGCGCGCTCGCGAGACCAAGAAGCGTTTCCAAGCTCCCGCCCAGGAAGCCCCAGGCATGTCGCCCACGGAGGTTGCGGCCACCATCCAGGCAGCCAGCCTCCAGGCCGTGAGCGCCGAGCGTGAGCGCGTGGAGGCCGCCGCTGTGCAGTGGATGCAGCACGAGCAGACCGAAGCCGACGCCAAGCGCGAGGCTGAGCATGCCGCCTGGGCCACGCAGGCCCAGCGCGACCTGGAAGAGAGCCAAGCGGCGATGAAGCAGGAGCTCGAGAACATGCGTGCGAGGTCCAAGAACATGCAAGTGTTCCAGAACGAGCAGATACGCAACCATCGTGCGACCGTCGCCGAAGTTCAATCCGGCCGTGCGACAACCGACCCTGATTTGGCAACCTCGGGTAAGTCCGCCCGGACTGACCCTGAACCGGCAACCAAGTCTGATGACGCGATCGATGACGCAATCATGGGGAAGGGCGCTGGCGACCGGACGTCTGCTGAACCGAAGAACACTGCCGAATTCTTGAGACATCTTCGGGCGACACTGCTGCCGGACGCCAATAACTCAAGACGTGTCGGAAACTCAGCGCCGCCGCTCCCAGGCCGCCGCGCCGGGCCGGTCCCAGGCGAGTGCGTGCGCCCAAGGACTCCAAGCACGGGGTGAAGCAGGAGACTCCGCCTGAGAAGAAGAAGAAGAAGTCTGAGCGCAAGCGAGCTCCGCCCAGGAAGTTCAGTCGACGCCCGGGCAGAGACTCCAGCCCAAGCTCAAGCTCCAGCTCCAGCTCGGACTCCGGTTCAAGCTCCAGCTCAAGCAACTCGGATGACAGTCCGGCCGAGGATCATTCAACCTCGGTCGAGCTGCCTGGAGGCTCCGGCCAAAGGCAGACCCTGCTGACACTCCGGCCGTATGTCAACTCGAGCACCCTAGGCCAGTTCGATGAGACGGCCTCGATGGGAGATCGCCGGAGCTGGTGGGAGCGTTTCATCAACATGTCCGCCCAGGGTGGCTGGACCGAGAAGACCAAGTTGCGTGAGCTCAAGATGAAGATGTCGGCACCCGTCCGGAGCTGGAGAGCCCAACTGTCGAAGCATACCCAGAAGGACTGGAAGAAGTTGGCCAAGGAATTCCGGCGGAAGTTCCTCAAGTCGCGGACGTCTGAGCCTGAGCGCTACTTCACCATGAAGCAGAAGGCCCGTGAGACTGCTATGCAGTGTTTCTATCGCCTGAACGAGGCTGCGATCAAGGCGGACATTCGTTATAAGAAGGACAAGAAGGAGTCTGCCCAGCGCATCAAGCGGTTCATTAAGCGTCTGCGAGACCACCAACTCAAGTCAAGTCTGCGCAACCAACGGATCCACAGCATCGATGACCTGGAGTACAACCTCGAGCAGGGTGAAGACTTTGATCTGGACGGAGGCCACGACACTCCACCGCCCTGCCGAGATTTCCGGGCGGATAACATCCCGCCCAGGCGTTTCAAGCCGGGTCGTCCGAGCTTACGTCGGCCTGAGTGGTGGTGAGTCTGGGAGTGGACGTGAGGGGCGCGTGAGGTTCGAAGATGAAGTCGATAGCTCGGACGAAGACCAGCCAGAGCCTCGCGACTCTGGCCGAGTATCTTCCAAGCCAAGCTCAGATGATGCGCCCAAGGTCGCCACTGCCCCGAGTCCTGCGACGGAACAAGAAGTCCACAAGATGATCCTGCGTGCGATTGAGAATTTGGGCTGGCGCCCACCACTGCTACCGGGCTCTCGCCCAGGATTGCAGTCGCCTCGGCCGGGTTGGCAATCACCTCGGCCGGAGAATCCCGACCGGAATGAATTCTGCGAGAAGTGCAGTAAGTTTGGCCACAAGGAGAAGAACGGCTGGATGGACGTCAAGTGTGACAAGTGTGGCCGGACCGGATATCCGGACTATGCCTGCAGAGTTCGAGTGTGATCGACTTGTGGCAAGCACCATGAAGGCCTGTGTGATGATGCTGAAGCACTCCAAGCCGTGAGGGCTCTCGCTCGCCAAGGCATGCTGAAAGACCTGCCCGCCCACGTCCTCAAGAAATTGCTGGACGGGGGGCCAATCAGGGGAAGTCGTTAAACGAGTAAGCCCGCTGGATGGGGATCCAGTACGCGCCGGGCCTAAACCCCAACGATTGTGTGGCTTAGTGTAGAGCCGAGATAGAAGAACAACGTTAACCAACAATGCATGGCTACCGTGAAACAAGATGATCCTGCTGATCCTGAGCGAAGTGACCCTGCGTGGAGTTGGCCAGACGCCCGAAGTGGAGTTGGGTCCTGGGCAGAGATATGGTTGGTGGGCTAATCATGATCACGAGGACAGTCGCGATGTTGCGTTGGTGCATGGAGCAGTGAATGATGTCCGGTCGAGAATCCTTCTGGACACCGGTGCATCCGGGAGTATGATCAGTTTGACCCTTGCGCGTAGGCTCAAGCTGAAATTCCGGGTGTTGCCGGAACCGGTCAAGGTGACCGGTCTGGGAGGAGCTCCGACGTACACCACTGCGAGTTCGAGGGTCAAGATCACGCTGGATTCCGTGTTGTCTACGTTCTGGATGTCTGGGGACGAACATTGGTGAAGATGTGGAAGTCCTCCTGGGGATGAATTTCATGTATGCGGCCGGAGTCCGGCTGTGTGTACGGGAAGGCCATATCCGACTGCCGGACGAAGAGATTGTCCTGATGTGTAACACCACGCTCCGCCAGAATCGTGGTCTAGACATCCCGGTGACGTCTGAGCAGAACCTGTATCTCCGCCCGGGTGAACATGCCACTGTCGAGATCAAGTACGGCCACAGCAACCCCCAGAAGGAGGTAGTCTGGGCGGGCCGCGGAGACCGCTGGGTCACCTGCATCAACTATGCGGCCAAGTCCTGGGCGAGATCGGTGAAGGTCGTCAACATTTCGAACCAGATGGTGTGGATCGACACGCGGACCCCTGTCGCACGGATCGTGGAATTCGGGTGTTATCCCATGTCAAGACGGTTTGTCCGCCCGGGGAGTCGGAAGTACCAGGAGTGGCAGACGCTGATCTACGAGAATACGCCGTCCCCGGAAGAGCGAAAGAGGCAGATGAAGCTCGAAGATCTCGAGTGGGCTCGCCAACCTCCGGCCGTGAAGCACGCCGAGTACCCCTGGCCGAGTAGAATCCAGGTGATGGTCGACCGGAAGAAGAAGATGTTCAAGGAGATCCCGGTGCAGGCTCGCCCGCGGTCGTTGCGGGCGGGAGTTGCTCGAGCTCAGCCCAAGACCATGTGCGACGTGGCAGTTCAGACGTGTACTACGGTGGAGGTTGGCACGCAGACGGACCCGATCGTCCTCAGCCAGGAAGAGATGGTTGAGAGGACCCTGGACGTGGACGAGTCGGACAGCCCAATGTAGACCGCAAGTGAGACGGAGCCTGAAGTTGACCTTGTCCGCCCGGAGTTGCCTGGCCAAGATGTTCCCGACGAAGACAAAGAACTAGATGATCGTCCGAGTTGCGTGATGGTGTCTACGCCCG